CTGGACACCTTTGGGTGACCCAATGAGCACATAGTACACACCTGGGAATACAATGGAGTGTATCACTTGCATTAACCGTTTGTCTGCAACGGATCAAGAAGAAGAAAAGAAGAAGTTTGTGTCACAAACTTCTTCTTTTCTTCTTCTTGATCCGTTGCAGACAAACGGTTAATGGGGAAGGGCAATAGAGCCTATTGTAGAACCGTTTTCTCGGGCTTGGAGATGTCCGCTTGCGACCATTTCCTTTTCTTCCCGAATCCCTGTTTTTCCCTCCGATGCCCGCTAGCGACCATATCCGCCCCCTTGCGACCACTATGCACTACCCCCTGCCCCCCCACCCCCCAAGGTTTTTGGTTCTTCATTATTTTTTTTGGTTCAATTTCCTTCTTTGGTTCTTTGGCAATTGACTTGAAGTTTGAGTCATTTAGATTTCATTTTTCAACAATCCCGCTTTAATGGTTTTTTTTAAAGCAGAAGGGCGGGCTGAAAAGCAAATTGTGGATTGCAGGCAGCAGGTAGGCGACCGACACGTAATTTCCCCCTTGTAGTAGATCAAGAGTATGGGCGAGGGGCTTCATCATCTGCAACAAAAACCGCGCATCAAAGCCATGCGACACCAGATACTAACAAAGTCGAATTAAGTAACGGTAGTTCAGTAGCTAATTTACCTCCACATACTCTTGCAGAAATTCAAACTCGCACAGTGAGAGGGCCGGTGCCCATTCTTTGGCAAACAGATGTGATCGCCGCCCGCCGGTCCCCTTCTTAATGCCACACGACCTCCCCCATGGCGTCGTATAGGGAATTCCACCGTGTGGCGTTAGAGACTGGAAGCACTTTTCCCAGGCCCGCCTTAACAACGTCCTGGGCAGCTGCACTCCTCCTCTGCTTCGACCAGAACGCCTTGCATTTTGTAAGCACGATAGACCAAGAGCCAACCCGATCAAGGGCTTTGCTCAGGTCGACAGTTGCCACGAGGTTGAGGAGGTGACAGGCGCACCGACGATGAGGTGGAAGGGAGACATCCATCCCACCGTCCAAAATGTCGCCCATAGATGATGCCTCGGGGGATGCTTCCTCTGTAGATGCAGACTCCTCGTCACCCGACTCGTCGTTTTCTGCAGTTAACGGCAATAAACGTCCTAAACAAAAAAATTGAACTTTTTAAAAATATGCAAAAGGCATGCTTGGATTTAATGACATAAAAATAAGGATACGTTTCGTGCCAGAAAGCTTTTAGAGAGTTAGAGCCATTCCCTTACAGTAAGTTGGGTAACATATATGATACGCAGAAATCGTAAAAATATGGTCGGCGTCATAATTTTGCGAACGATATATGGTTGGTGTCATAAATAGTAGGGCAGGGATCATATATGATGGAACCATAATATGATGGCACCATATTATGATGGCATCATAATATGATGGCGATGGCATCATAATTTGATCGGCTGCCCCTGGCATACAAAAATAATTTTCACAAAAACTGTAGTACAGCACTGTATATTATATAAAAATTTAAATTACAATAGTTCAATACATTAACATTTATAAATTACACTATTTGGAGATGAATAGATACAAATTACAGAAAAATATTTACAATACAAAAGACAAATATTTACAATAAGTACACAAGGACGATTGGGACAGCTCGACAATAACTATTACTACAATTTTGAAGCGGAAAATATTACTAGTAACTACTTTAATTACCTTACTTATGTTTATTCCTGTAAATATGCTTGAACCTCTTTTGTTGCTTCATGTCTCGGTTGTGGCCTTTCGACTATACTCGGCTCAGCGCTCGGGCCTCGGCTTGGCCGCCCGGAAACAACGCCGGACGCGCCAGCGAAAGTTATTTGAAAAACTCTAAGTTATTGTAATAACTCCTACTTACTGTAACAACTTATTGTAGTTCCAGATACTGAACCCTACCGTAGCAACTACTTGTTCTAGTATTTTTTAGCGCTAATAAAGTTTAAAAAGCAACTCCGGCTGTCGGACAAGTGAAACGAGCCCTTGCCCTGTTGTTGTAATACCTCACTTATTTAATTTATTTGCTAAGATACGACTGTTGGACAAATAACTTGTCGGACAAACGGGGCATTCTCCTATTGCAGATTGTCTGCCGATGGTTTAGCCATGGTTTCGCACGCCCGTTCCCCCGCAGACACTCCTCAAACCATCCGCGGTTCGTTTTCAGACAATCCGCAGACTAAATGGTCTGCGGTTTGTCTGCGGGTGGTCTATGAATGGTTTGCCCATGAGCAGCGAATTGTCTGCAAAGTGTCTGCATCTTATCGAAGAGTTGTCTGCGAAACGACGTCCAGCACCTGCAGGACCTTAGCCGACTGGAACGAACGGACGTCGATGATGCAGTCCCTCAGCGCCACACGAACTGTCCTTAGGTCGGTGGCGAAAAGCCTCACCAGGCCATCCAGCCTGTCGTAGGAGCAGACGCTCAGAAGAAGGAGGAGGCGCGACAGACACTCCTCAAACCATCCGCGGTTCGTTTTCAGACAATCCGCAGACTAAATGGTCTGCGGTTTGTCTGCGGGTGGTCTATGAGTGGTTTGCCCATGAGCAGCGAATTGTCTGCAAAGTGTCTGCATCTTATCGAAGAGTTGTCTGCGAAACATTTGCACCTGATTTGATAAATGAAGCACGTCACCGACGACCTGCAAATTTTTCACAGACCTATTCTTTGACTCGGAAAGCTATATGTGAACAACCAGAGCGAAGTTCCTCAATGATTTAAATGGTTAGTACCTGGTCACTGGTGCTGCTCTGGCTTGATTTCTGCAAAACGTCTGCTTTATCCTGGAACTTTTGGTTCGGAACAATTGTCCTTCCAGACCTCGATTCCGCAGTAGCAGCAGCAGTTGGCTGTATTGGCGACGACAAAGCCCGATAGTCTTTCTTCATTTCTTCATAGGCTGAAATGTTCAAAAAATGCAAATTAGAGAAAATAAGAAACCATAAGAGTAATAAATTGTGTCAGAATGAACTGGAACTTACTGCCTTGGGCCACCACCTGAATTGGACTAATCAGCCACTCGTCCTCGCTCTGACTCTTTTCCATGATACTCTTCATAACTGGGGCCCCGGGCAGCGGTGCAAATGGAGTTTCTAGTCTCAAGCCACCAGGCGCGAACATGCTCTTTCTCAGCAATCACTTTCCCTAAATCAGTGTATTCTGGAGGAACCCAAGACTGGTAAACATAACCGTTTCTTCGCTCGTCCGGAAAATGCACCAAAACGCATTTCTCCGCGTCGATGGCCGTGAGCGCCGCGTAATCAAACCGCACTTACCTTGTTGTTGAGGAAGTCCTCGTGCAGCTGCCGCAGGGCGTCCCTATTGGTGCCGTCCAAGTCGATGGAGTCCAGCAGCAGCCCGCCGGGGGCCTCTTGGGTGAGGAATTGAGCGCGGCCCCCGTCAACATGTGCTTCACTGAGTTGCCGTCGAACACCTCCTCCCAGAGCACGTCCAGGCTCGACCCCGCCATGATGTGTCCTATGCCGCCGAGGAAGGATATAATCAAGGAGACAATCAAGCCGCCGAGGCGCACGACGACACCCTTGAGCTCGCCCTTTGCAGCACCCGCTTGCCACAATCTGCACCGCCTTGCTGTACAGGGCACTCCATCTGGCCCGTGGTGTCCGCGTCCTCGGCGGCGAAGCGTAGCCAGATGTGCTTTTCTTGTCTCTTCGATCTCCAG